CTTAATGACATTCGTATTTGGCATGCGAATATGACATAAGCACCGAAAGAAGAGAACGAGGGAGAAAACAATCATGTTTGATGAATAGGAAGAAGGGAATAGGAAACGCACATTCAGGGTTTCTTCCAGCGATTTAACTTTCAGCTCTTGTGCCTGTAATTGCGCCTTGAGGGTCATCTTCTCTTGCTGTAAATGAAACGAGAGAGTGGTAATGAGTAAGAAAATTTGGGATAAACGGTTTCCTAGCCGAGGCGTCATATCTGGGATTCTACCGAACATGCTCCGCCCACAAGCGTCCGCACAAGCAAACATCACCGACTGACTGGCTGCCTACGCCTGCGAAAGGGTTATGAGTTAACCTAAGTAACCACCGAGATAACCACCCACGTCGTAAATAGGAGAGACTGAGCGTTTATTAACGCCTGCGTCTACGATTGAACTCAGCCAATTGATATATCGAACTGTCGTCGACATACAGAGCCCTGCGCAGTCCCCTTTATACCACCGTGACTGATAATCGGTTGGCGACCCCAACCCCTTCTTATAAACGTTGGCTGTTTTGTTGGGCACTGCACCTCCGAGCTCGAAAGCTTAGACAAAAAAATGGTCACGGTACTCGACTAGTCTTCTTTTTTATTCGTATCGACACTCAGAAGTTGAGCATTCGCTTACATTCGTAATTTTGACGTGTAGGGTTATTTTAAATTCTCACGAGTTTGTTCGTTGCTATATATTAGCTTAGTATAATAATTTTATCGGCTATTTCCTGTTTTTTTTGCTGTATTTCTATTACTTTCTCCCCGCTCCCCCGTAATGTCCCACCCATATAAGTCCTATTACCATCGGTCCCCAATTACACAGTTCTGGGGTTGTTTGCCTTCCGTGGTGATCCCTATAAGAGATTTTTATCGCAAGAAGAATCCCTTACACAAGAAAGGATCCACTCTGAGTTGCTGGTCTCCAACAACAAGATTTACAGAACTGCTGTAAATCCACTCGACAGGGTGATTCTGTCGTCTTGGAAATTATAGACAGGCGTTAGCCAGACAAATAGAAATTAGCAGCTACGAGTCCTACATAACGAAGTACATAGGTGGCCAAACAAGTGTTCTCACAAACGAAATCAATTCTGCGCCTCCGAATGCTGAAAACATTATGGAACAACTATCCCTTACATGAAAAGCGAAACCCAAGGGAAGAAGAACAAAGAAATAGCCAGGGAGCAGATCTGTCAGGAAAAGTACACTTTAAAATATTTCACTTTATCCTCTTTTACTTCCACCTTTGCTGCTATAACACCTAACCGATTCTTCATGGTTTCCTCTCGATTAAATGACTGACTAATTCAATAGCTTGGACGGACCATCTGTATGAATAGCCCTCTAAACTGAAAAGGAAGTTGGCCCATATAGACGTTCGACGGAAAGCCTTTTCCCAGTCGGTCGTTAGAGCAGGGAACGGACTCCCCGACGCGGTGGTCCTTCCAGAAACCGTTACGATATTTAAATGCAAACTCGATTTACAGTTGCTGGTCAACTGTTGTAAACATATATTGAACACTGTGTCAGTAGCGGCAGTTTCTAGATGGCTCCCACATATCGCTGACGTTAAGCCTACACTTTTCATATGTACTGTTGTTAAAGTTATTATTTTTTGCGATTGTTGGATATGGATAGGAAGTTAAAGTGACTTATTTCTTTCTAGGTTTTGATCAAAGTAACTTCAGAGCATTTCATGTTGAACAGAAACCCTGCTTGATTGACGATTTGATGCAAGTGGTCCATGCGTGGTTAATCAGATGCAAGTTCGATGGATTTGCGGAACACAGAAGGGCTCATCGTATATTAGCTTCTGAAATGCCGCTGGATGAGGAACCGCATTGTAGGCTTGAAACGTCCAAGTCCCCCACCCTATTGTGATTGACAGTAGGTGTTTCCCCAGTATTCGACGACACACTTCACAAATGACGTTTGTGGGTAGAATCACGGACTCGCTTTAACGTTTGTC